CCCTACACAGATAAGGGTGATAAAGTGTCCCTACACTGGTCCTCTGTGTTCTACCAGTTTAACCAGGTGACAACTGATTTAAATGACTAATAAGCATATCCTTCAAAGGGTAAAAAAGAAGGATAATGTCCCCCAAAGTCTACCTGCCATACTTGCCTGAGAGGTGAGTATGGCAAAAGGTAGTTTTGCTTTAATAACATTGGTGTGACATCTATAGCTATGACCTCTCTGGACACAGGAAATGCCTCAGACCCCCGACGTTCTGCAGCCCTCTCCCATCTGCAGTTACTATTACTTAGTCAGTCTACATCGAACAAAAAATCATTGTGTTAAAATGATTTTCTTCTTTCTCCAAGTTGTTATGTCTGATGGTGATAATTTTGAAATTCGAAAGAGGAAAGGTCCAGGTGCTGTGGGATCTAGTAAAGCCTGCATTCTTTGATGCTTGTGAGCAGAACGTGACAAATCATAAAACTCAAAGTGCTCATTAGGACCAGGCAATTGGACCCTGTGTTCTCCCACCAGGTCCTCTCCACTGGCAGGCTATACACAGAGTTATCAGCATTCTCTTGGAGCAGGAAGGCATTTCTGGTCCCTATTTGTACACCCCTCAGCCAGGCCTGGGAAGCTTATTGCTTTTCCCACACGTGGCTCTTCCACTGTGCAGTCTCTACCATCTCCCAGGTTATAAATAGCTAAGCCAGTATTGTCTTCTTTCAAATTAATCCAGGATCCAAAGAGCAACAGCTACTAAAAGGTAACCTTTCAGGACATCTATTATGTATGGTAGACCTTTGGTAATCACGGACGAAATTATTCTAAAAAAGAAAGGATGGTGGGAAGTAAGCTATAGAGGCGGTTAAGAGCTGCGGGGCTTCCCTGACAGCAGAGGTAGAGGCTCCGGCATTGGGTGGGATACCGCTGGTGAACCGACCCCAGGCTCCTGCCCCCGGTACCCAGCCTTGGGTCTCCTTGTTCATCTCCTCTAATGTGTCCCGTTGGCTGCCTGGTGGGGAGAAAGCTCGGGATCTGAGGGAATGTCAGAGGCGCTCACCCGCATGTAAGAGGCTTCTTCTCCATCCTGCAATGGGACAGGCAGAGAGGTGAGCTTCAGGAGATAATGCAGGGCAGAATGCAAATCATGCAGGGAGTAGTTCAGAAAATGCTCAACTTACGCAGTTCTTCGTGAAGTTGCTCTGAAAAAGAAACAGAAACAAATGAATGTCCTCAAGAGGGGAACTAAGAGAATTGGAGTTTGTCTTAAATGATGATGGCTGGTCTTCTATTTGAATACCACTGTCCCCCTCCCCGGTTGCCTTGGGAATTGTCAAGATACCAGAAATAACATATGATCAGGTGGCTGGAGATTATCAGTACTTATTTGGGTTTGCTCTTGTCCAACAATATAGGGCTATACGTAGCCAGGTGAATGGATGCAACGTTTGCAGAATGGAAGAAAGCGAGGTCTGAGGGATTCGTTACTAGGACACGAAGAGTTCTAAGCCCTTGCCGCTGCCTTTATTCATGTCCTCTCTCTCTCTTTTGCAGGCTTTTAGCTGCTGGAGCTGTGTCCTTTTGTATGACAGTGAACTGTCTTCCTACTCTTTTACCTTTTATTTGACGTTCTTTCTCTTTTTCCACACGTTCTTTCCCCAGTTCCTTACGTGCAATTTCTTTCTCTTCATTTTCAATCTCTATTTGCATGGACAGAAGCTTTTTTTCCATTTGGAGTTTCTTGACGAGACAGATGCTCCCAGCGATGACGAGGAGCAGAGAAGGCAGGATGACAGTCAGGGCCACCAGCCAGGGAGATGTGCTGGGAATAAAGGATTCTGAAAAGGGAGGCCAAAAGTCCCATTTAGTGAGAAAAAGGAGCCCTGGGATTAGAGCCCCTCCGGGCGCAGATCTGAAGAGCGCCTCCCCTGCACCCCTGGCCCCCACCAGGTCCCTGCTCCATCAACTTCTCTCTCAGAAACCCCAGCTAGTGAAAGAGACTTCGGCTCTGCACTGGCTCGCCCCACAGTGATTGCCAGGGTTGGGGCCCCAGCAGACAAAAAAGCAGTAACATCTGGAGTCACCATGGGTAAGACCAGGGTGACTAAAAGCTAACCAGACATACTGAATCAGCACGGCCACCACATGGTATAAGCCACCGTCCCTTCTCGCCTGGAATATTGCAATGCCTTCTCCCTGCTTCTGTCCATATCCTCTGTGGTTTGTCCTCAGCACAGCGGCCTAAGTGAGATGATGTTTCTCTGCTCAAAACCCTGCAGTGTTTCCTATCTCACTGAGACTAACAGCCAAAGTCCATTTGTGGCCTACACTGCCTCATATGATCCAGATCTACTGTCTCTCTGAATTCATCTCCTCCAACTCTCCCTGCCCTCAATCCATTCCAGTCATACCTGTGTCTTGGGGGGTCCTTGAAACTGCCAGATATGCTCCTGCCTCAGCCCTTTGCATATGCTGTTCCTGCTACCTGGCTTGCTCAGCCCTCAAACATCTGCATGGCTCACTCCTCACTTCCCCAACTGCCATCTTTTCCATGAAGCTTTCCCCGATCGTCCTATTTGCAATTACAACTGCCTTATGCCCCTGAAACTCTCTATCCCCCCTCACTAATTTTTTTCTATGGTACTTATCACCATCTGATATAATCCACAGTTTAATTAATTATTTCACTCCTTGTTTTAATTCATGATTTCATTTATTGCCTTCTGCTGTTCTAGAATGTGAGCCCCATGAGGGCAGGTATCTTCATGTATTTTGTTCACTGATTTACCTTCGGTTTCTAGAACAGTGTCTTGAACATATGAGACGCTTGTTCAGTATTTAATGAATTTATGAATGTCTACAGACAGAGAATTTCTCCAGCTCTGTCCCTTGGGAAATCTCTTGGGCAGGAAGGAAGGGCTTCAGCAGATACTACCTGCCCATAGATTTATGATTGTTCTAAATGTTTGAAGATTGCTGCAGGATAAGGACCATAACAGAGGAAAAACAAAACAATACAAAACTATCAGATTTACCCTCAGAGAAGAGGCTTCCTACTCCTGTGTTTTGAGGTGATTTGATTTTCCTCTTGTGACAAGGGGAGAGGCCTCGGCTCAGCTGTAGCCTCTAGCTCTTCAGGGCCCAGGACCCTTCCACTCCACGCCCCTACTCCCATCACCATGCTGGGCTCCGGTCTGTCTGTTGAGGATCCCGCCTCCATGAGATGAGCCCCCAGAGAGCAGGGAACTAACCTGGAATGAAAATCACAGTTTCCTTCTCCTGGTTGAGCAGGGTGTTGTTGACGGAGCAGGACACGTTCCTCACAGACTCGTCCATGATGATCACAGCCATGGTGACCATGAAGAGGCCATCTGCGTTCGTAGTGTAAGCCTCCTCCAGCGGGGGCATGATCTCACCATAAGGGTCCCTCCACACGGCATGGGGCTCTGGGTACCACCCTACAGATGTGCATTCCAGCCGGATGCCTCCATCCTCGTGGCCCTTCATTTCAATAACGGGCTTAGAACCCAGGCCTGGGGAGAGAGACCAGCTAAAGAGGTAATGGTGTCTTAGCCGAAGTGTCTTAGCAGATCAGCTGTTAGTGATGAGAGCCAAGGGAAGCCGGGAGAGAGCAAGAGGCTGGTGTCCAGAGAAACTGATGATGCACATTCCATTCTGTGAAGGGAGAAAGGAAGGAAGGAAAGGAGGGAGGGATGGAGGAAAGGAAGGAAGAAAACCTTGATGTTGGAGAACACCAGGTGACCAACATGTCAAAAAAATTGTGAGATCTCTAAATGGGGAAAGGATTACATTGTACTTTTCTTTGTGCTCCACCTACGGACCCCATCACAGGAGCAAGCATTTATCTGCCTCCTAATAAATATTGGTTGATTGATTCATTCAGCTAGAGATTTTAATTTTCTCACTTCTGGGTGGCTGTGTCCACTGTGACCAGAAAGAAGCAGGCTTTCACTTTCTGCCCTGAGAGGACTTCTCAGTAGCTCTGGCTTCCTGAAGTTCTAGGTCAATACAATAAGGACAGAAACCTTCCAGGCTGGCAGAATCTTAAGAAACTTTTTGAGTTCAAGGCACTGACCCTCTTCTCCTGGTTTACGACTTCACATCGCCACAGCTATCTGATAATCATAAGCAGCTGTTGGTTTTTAGGAAAATTGACAGAGCCAGTGTGCAAAGCCAACCCTTACCCCAATTCAGAGATGTTTACCTTCCAGTCAATTGGGCTCAGTCAATTAGGTAATTTTCTTACAGTCCCTTGACAACATTCCCCCATTAGATCTGGATGCTCCCGGGATCCTTAAGATAAAAACATCACCTCCTTAATGTCAGCAGATCATCGTCAAAAGTCCTAAGAATCCAGACTCTTCCTAACTTATTCTATCTTTCAGAGAATCCTCAATAAAAGAGAATACTGGGTAGGAGAGAGCTGCAAATGCGTGGTCCTGGGAGACTTCTGCCCCTTTAGCCAGGTATCCAGCAATCATCCAAACTTCTATTAAGGAGTTCCTTTGTTAAGCCTATCCAACAAATTATACCAAAGACAAAATTAAAGCAGTCACTTAAGTCTTACTGCTTCTTGCTCAATTTGATCTTTTCAAGATGTTTCACTCCTTCATTTTACAACTACTTATTAAGTACCTGCTAGGTGCCAAGCAATTTGCTAGATGCTGGAGACATAGTTGTGAATAATTGCTGGTCCTGATTGTGATGTGGACTATTAACGCTTTAAAAGAATGTCTAGTAACAAAAACCTGAAAGAGTACTTTTTAGTGCTGTCTACAAAAATTTTCAGTTCACCTAGGCCCATGGTTAGGCTTATACTTCCCTCTCCTGTATAGTTAGGCATAACCATGTGACTTGCTTTGGTCAATGAAATGTGAGTATAAATAACATGTAGCACCTCCCAGGCAGAAGCTTTACAAACCAGTGAGTAATTTGCCGGGCTCTC